TGAAAAGACCCAGGAAAACCGAGTTAACGATAAAAACGATAACAAAATAACGCTGAAAACCGATAAAAACCCTGAAAACCACACATTTCACACCTGAGCCTCAACTCTCGCGGCCCGGTACCAAACGACTCACGGACCGGTACCGGTCCGAGGCCCGGGGGTTGGGGACCGCTGGGCTACAAGTCAAAGGTTTGGACACATCTTCTCAGTTAATGTTTTTTCTTTATTTTGAACACTTTCTACATTGTAGATACAAACTGAAGACATGAAAGATATGAAGCAAGATATATGGAATTATGTAGCAAAGAAAAAAGTGATAAATAACAAAATATGTTTTATAGTTTAGATTCCTGAAAGTAATCACTCTTTGCTTTGTTGACAGCGCTGCAAACCCTTGGCCTTGTCTCAGTGAGCTTGATGATGAAGCTGAAATGGTTTTCAGGGTTCATTTGTGGAATTTGTTGCCTTCTTAATGTGGTTGGGACCATCAGTTGTGTTGTGTAGAGGTCAGGCTGGTACACAGCCCCATTTGACAACTGTTAGAATTCATATTATGGCAAGAGCCAATCAGCTAAGTAAAGAGAAATGACAGTCCATCATTACTTTAAGAACTGAAGGAAAATTGCTAAAACTGTGAAGTGCTACAAATAGCTACTAAGAAACCACTACTAAGGAAAAGCAATAAGCAGAAGAGATTTGTTTGGGACAAGAAACACAAGGAATGGACGTTAGACCAGTGGAAATCTGTGCTTTGGTCTGATGAGTCCAGATCTGAGATCACTGGTTCCACCAACCATGTCTTTGTGTGATGCAGAAAAGGTGAACGGATGGTCTCTACATTTATGGTTCCCTCCATGAAGGTGGTGTGATGGTGTGGAGGTGCTTTCCTGGTGACACTGTTGGGGATTTATTCAAAACCTAAGGCACACTGAACCAGCATGGCTACCACAACATCCTGCAGCAACATGCCATCCCATCCGGTTTGCGTTTAGTTGGACCATTATTTATTTTTCAACAGGACAATGACCCCAAACACACCTCCAGGCTGTGTGAGGGCTGTTTGACCAAGAAGGAGAGCAATGGAGTGACACCTGACTTAAACCCAATGGAGATGGTTTGGGATGAGATGGACCCCAGAGTGAAGGCAAAAGGACCAACAAGTGCTCAGCATCTCTGGGAACTCCTTCAAGACTGAAAAACATTTCATGTGATGACCTCATGAAGCTGATTGAGAGAATGCCAAGAGTGTGCAAAGCAAAGGGTGGCTACATGGTCAGGCTGAGTTCAGACACTAGATTGTACATGAAAAGACCAATCATGAGATGTGGCTTACAGAAAAAGTACTACCTGTACTCCATAGTACCTTTACTTCCCCTTTAGTAAATTAATTGGGGAAAAAAGGTTTACTAATTTGATACAAAGAAGCTTATGAGTAACCTGAGGAATTTTACCAGCAGTTGTTAGCATCTTGAAAATGGTCACTGTCTTGTATATTCAAATGGCTAATGGGTCATCATGTTAAAGACTGTGCACCTGAAATACATGAATTAAACTTTGGCATTAATTTGGCTATAAAAGCTGTGTTAGCGTGGGTCGAGGCAGACTACTCAATTAGGTCCACATAGTTCTCGACACTTTAAACGTCATGTTATACCATTAACCTCCATCAGTTGCTGTTGCCCCCAGTGTACATTGTGTGAAGCTAATTACAGGCGTAAGCAGCAGCTCTGTGCTTTGGTCCAAGTTCTGTCATGGTTTCAGGGTACATTCACCACAGAAAGACTCCCACACACTGGGCAGTTTTCCGTGGCTTAATTGAACTGCTTGGCGCTGGATTGATGAGGAAAAGGAGGAGCATAGATTCTGTTTCACTCCTACTCGTGGGTAATTAAAGAAACACTGAAATGTGAAAGGAAGACATTTTTGGACACAAAACATTAGAAAGAAACTAATGATTAATTTTGTATTTATTGTTTCATTGTTTCAGAAGCCTAATTTAAAGCTGGTCAATCAGCCAGTAAAAGAACAAATATTTAAGTTTAAGGAAAAAAACTTCCTGTAATGGCCACTAGTCCTAAAGTGAGTGTGTCTCAGAGAAAATGACCAAATTTATGTAGTAGTCTGTCTAGAGCCTGTTAAATGGTGTTTGTTTCCATATCTGATTTCAATATTAATCCCTATTAATGACTAGTATGAAATGTACTGGGGTAATTTTTTAT